TGATTGCTTTCAAATTAAGGTCTTCTGAAGAATATTTTCATATTCAAAATAAGAGTATGAAGACTGTCCTAAATTATGAGAAACACTTTTTTCAGGGAGAAAATTTTAGGAAATAATAAAGACTCTTGTCATTTATTGGGGGCAATCAGCTGAACAAGCAAATGTAATCAAATATATGTTCTACTAATAATTGGCAGATTTAAGATGATGGCCCAGATTTTGTGACAAATTCAAGAGTATTTCTCACCATATTCCTCTCATACCAATATACTTACTATTGTGATAAAGATCCAACTTGATCAATCTGCTATTATTATAGTAGAGAATTGCACACAAAGAAAGAATTATATACTGGCTTTTTTCAAATCCAAAGAAGGAAGGTAAGAATGTGGTTCTACTTCCTGGCTTTTTTCAAATCCAAAGAAGGAGGGTAAGAATGTGGTTCTACATCCTAAAACAAAGAAATTCTAGAAAATCAACTTCTGATCATTTTGATTGATAGCTCTGATGCTGAATGTTATTAAATGGTGGAGGAATGAGTTAAGTTTTTCATGAAGAAAACTTGTGCTTCACATACTTAAAACTACTTAAACAAGGACCCAATGGAGAACCTGATTATCTTCTAAAAGCATGAAGACACATGAGAAATTAACTGTTCTCTTTATCTTAAAATACTTCCTTTCACCATGTTCTCAGATTAATTAAAAAGAAATGACTCAATAACTTCATTAATCTATCCTCAAATGAATATTACCTGAATTGTTACTGTTTGTCTTCCCATAAGGAATTCTATAAAGGCCAAGGATATAACCATCTTCTGTTACAACATTATACTCTTCATCAGGGTAACCCCAGTAGGAAATTATTTGTCTCTGGATAAAGAAAAATAAATCTTTTCAGCATAAAATTGTGATTAATTTCAATTAAATTTGCCATTTGTAACTCATATAACTTATGAAAGTTCACTTAACTTCTAGTTACGCCTCCTAGACCATTTGGCCTTATTTTCCAGATAAGATCTCCTGAGTTTTCCAGAACTGAATCAGACTCCAGTCGTTGTCCTACATCTGCCTTCCATGTAGTTGCCATTACTGCTAAGCACCACTATGCTGTGATTCTTTTTCTAGATATGGTCTCACTAACTCTTTTGCCCGGGCTGACATCAAACCACAAACCTTCTGTCTCCACCTCTGACATAGTAAGGTGCCAACAAACCCAGACTCAGCTTATGTACTTTTCCATTAGACATTTGTTTAGCTGGTACATATTTATGAAACATCTACTCTGCACTAATCTTAAACACTAGGTTTTCAAAGAAAAATTCTTCCAAAACATTACTCTCAAAGAGATATCTCAAGAACCAGCCTACTAATTTTTCTTTTCTATATACTATTTCTTCACAACTGTACCTACTCATCACATGCAATTTTAAAATATGTACATCCATAAATGTTTTCATGTCAATGTATATATCTAATCTTGCATTTCAAATTTGTATGTATGTGAATATATTGGAAATAAATTGCACATCACCTATGAAGGCATATGTATACTTACATTTTTTAATCATATAAGGCTGGGATTACTACAGAACAGTAGATGAGAAACAGTAATCTCTATCAAATATATGCATGTAGAGACAGATATTTGTCTATAAGCCTATTGACTTAAAAATTCTAAGATTTGAAAAGTATCATTCTCTGTTATACCAGTAATTTAGATTTGTTTACAACTTACAATATTCATATTTGCTTCAGGGTTCACAGATTTTCGATCCTGAAAGACATCATGAGCACTGCCAAGAACTAGGATGGAATATATCAGCGTGAAAAGGCACCACATTTGGAATCTGTATATAAAATGAAGATAGTTTTGCAAATATAGAATATGTACTTAAAATTTTTATTTTTTTTGCCAGTCCTAGAGCTTGAATTCAGGGCCTAGGCACCACCCCGAACCTCTTTGTGCATAAGGCTAGCGCTCTACCAATTGAACTACAGGACAACTTCCAGCTGTTTTTTGAGTAGTGTATTGGAGATAAGAGTGTCACAGGGACTTTCCTTGCCTGGGCTGGCTTCAAACCTCCCCAGATCTCAGCCTCCTGAGTAGCTAGGATTATAGGCGTGAGCCATCAGTGCCCAGCTCTGAATTTATTTTTCTTAAACTTGCTAAATTAAAATTTTAATTTATGGAAACTTGATTACTTCCTTTTGTAACTGGGATTTAAAGGCTGCTTTTGCTAAAATTAAATGTTTCACTTTAAGATGTTTTTGCTACATTAAATTCTGGGTCAGATTCCCATTTAATTCTGCACATGGACCTTTATCATGATGTTGATTACCTCTAGATTTACCTTGGTGGGGTTGAGTAACCCTAATTTTGTTTCTCCTAGAAAACTGAAACAATAAGAGAAACTAAGGTATTTTCAAGATTCCAAGAACAGGGAACCTTGAAGATGGATCGTGCTCTGATCACCATATGACCTGACCAAGATAGTGTGGAACTATTACTTCTCTCATTGTGTATATTATAATTCAATCATAATAGCTTACATTCAAATCATATCTATGAATGTAATTATTTTTAATTGGCATCTCCATTATACTCTTAACTCATAATGACCTTAGGACTTACTAATGGCCTAAGTGCTGTCCCCAATTTTATAAAACTATTTCCTAAACATAAAAATTAAGACTGAATATCCTCAATCAATTTGTTTGGATTAAACTTATGTCACCAACAGCCAGTTAAAATCTTTAAAAATTCTGATTTTACCACTTACAAGGGAGCTTTGCATTTTGGTTTTAGACCCCCTAAAATACCTTAAGTGTTCCATCAATTATTTATAGTTATGAATAATAAAGTGAGGAGAGACCAAGTTATACACTTAGCTGACATATTTTATATTACTACAATCAGATTATACTATAAAAATCACGTTCTGTCAAAGGAAAATAACTGAAATCATCCAAGGAGTTACCAACCAACCTATTTTTGCCTTAAGTATTAAGTATTATCCTCAAAAGTCATTTATACTTTCTTGGCAGTTAGTGGACCTTTAGTTCCTGACAGTTCTAACTTTGATTCTAGTTGCCAGGGATACTGAACTGGATATGGTACTGGCTACTGGCATTAAATTCTAATAGAAGGAAAGCAATAACTACTTAAGAAAACAAGTTAAAAAGAATGATAACATCTAAGTGTGATTAGGTCAAGTTTACAGACTTCTCTTATATGATTTTTAAGCCTGAAGTTGAATGAGAACAGCTTTACAAAGATGGGAAATAAGAAGAGAGGTGGGTTAAAGAAAAAGGTAAAGGTGACTAAACAGAATAAATATTTGAACAAAGGATTTTCGCAGCTGTTTGCAGTTTTTATTTTATTTGGGTCACCTAGTCATTCCCACCTCTCCATAAAGATTCACTAGTGCCAATGGAACCAATAGCTAGTGTAGCTATGGACTAAACCATAACCCACCCCTTAGGCTGAGAGTAATAGACAATACTAAGACACCAAGACAATGCTACTCTAGGCCTTAACAAACTAAAAGTTTGGATAAATGATTTATAAGATCATCCTATCTACGACAAGGACATAGAAACAGAGAATGAAGGATTATTATAAATTTCAAACCAAAGTCAAGTACGTTCTATGCTTATAGTGGCATAAATAAATATTTTCCACTGCCACAGAAAGTGAGAACTCTGAGGATATATTCCAAGGACAAGAAATTTAGCTTAATCACAACACAAACATAGGTTGTGCAAATACTGCTGAATATTCGAGTTTTCTACTTGTACAGAAGAACTTGATCCTGTATGAACATGAAAGCTATGAATGTTTTTGAAGATGACAAAAAGTGATCTACATGTTAAGTGTAGAATGTAGATTGAGTAAGGAAACCAGTGAAAAAGCTCTTGTAATAATTCAGCTCAGAAACTTCTGAGCTCAAGGGATGAATTACATTATTGACAATTACCTCACCAAGTGCTGAAGTTAGCAAGAACGCAATGTGTAAATTTTGCTAGGCATATTAATACACTGCAATACAATTCATTGTGTAAGTTGGACTTTTCTGTTCTATAATTTGATAATGTTGTATCCAAGAAACACTAGTTTGCAATTCTGTATTTTTAAGTTTGAATGTCTTCTCAGAGGACAGTGTATTCATCCATAGTTTTCTCATTCTCTTCATCTATTTCTCCTAACATCAATCCATCATCAATTTAAAAAGTGGAATACTTTTTAGTATTAGCATGTAGTGTGTATATATTTTATATGTACATGTATATATATATACGTGTATGCATATATTTACAGCATATTTTGATCCTCTACACCCCTCAGGGTCCTTTGCTCTCTCCCATTCATCTCACCTAGACATCTCATCTACAGTCTTGTCCCATATTACTAATCATGTTCAGTCACCTAAGCCAAGCTCAAGAAAGCCAAATATCGCATACTCCTTCATGGAAGCTGGACCCAAAACAACGATGGTGGTAATACTTGCCTACCTTTTTAAAAGTTCAGACATCTCGTTACTTTTTGCTGTTTCCCTGAGAACTTCTAAGATTGCTGGGTGAAGGGACCAGAGTAAGCAAGGTTCACTCTCCTTCCCTTGGTCATCATTATCATCCCTGGGAGCACAAGGATGGTTCTGGGATACAGAACTTAACTGAGGGAGAGACCCCGTGACGTACAACGTCCCAGCACGTGAAATATCTCTCATCTAAAATGACACCTTACCATCCTCACTGCACGGGGCTCCAAGGAGGGGGTCTGACTTGCGATGGCTGGACTTACAAGTGTGTCTCTCGCACATGCTCTTTCTCTCACTTGCCTGGAGGTGGCCATTCAGACCCTGGGACGTCAGTCAGCCGGCGGCGAGCGGGAAGCCCGGATGGCGGCGCCCCCTGCAGGCCTTCGTGGAGATGGCCCGGAGCGCCGCGGTGACGGGCGCGGGCCGGGACCGGGCGTGCAGGGCGCGGGGCACCGGCGCCGGCAGACGGGCCGGGTGCCGCCGGCGCGGGCAGGCAGGCCCGCCATCCCCCCCCCAAAGCTCGCCGCGAGCCTCCGTGAAGCCCAGGCCGCCATGGCGCGGGTGCTGATTGTGGGCGCCGGGCTGACAGGAAGCTTGTGCGCCGCGCTGCTGAGGAAAGAGGTGACAGGTCCCTTGCACCTCGCCGTGTGGGACAAGGCTGGGGACCCAGGTGGGTTGTCTGTCCGCCAAACCCTGGGTGGGTGGGGAGGGGGGAAGAGGCTGGCGTAGGCCCAGCGAGGAACATGGCCGGGCCAAGCCGGCCCAGGCGTAAGAAGCCCGTGAGAAGCCAGCCCGGGCGGCGCGCAACCGCGGGCCGCTCCTGAGCATGCGCGCGTCGTCACGTGACCGCAGCGGTTCCGTCCTCTCTTTAGACTGTCGGTGGGAGAGTGGGCCTGGTAACCGCGCCGCCTAGGCCTGCCCTGACCCAGTAAACGGATGGATGTCTACGTCCCTGACCTTGAAGCTTTCTCCACAACCTTAGGGATCCCAAAGTCTTCAGAGACCAGGATCTTCCAGAGAGCTAGCTTAGAGGATCCTGTTAAAGACACCCCAAAGAGCCTTCCTGTGACTCGGCCATCCGGCGTTTCATCCATCACTTGGTTTTATCCATTCACTCATTCATACCATTTATTCACATTGCACGTGTGCAACAACACTGCGAGACACTGGTGCGTTGCACATGAGTCCCTCTTATTCCTTTGTTAGATTACTTTGAAGACTGTAAAAGCAATATTTTACAGTCTTCAAAGTAATCTAATTATACCTGTCATCTGCTTCATGATAAAATGCTGTCACACACCGTAGATTAAAAAGAATGTTTCTTAATGTATTTTTTTCTTAAATCTAAAATCCATGGGAGTATCATGGGGTGAATTGTACTGGGAAAGACTGTTAATGCATTGATATTTACCTGTGACTTAATTCAAGGGGGAAGAATGACTACGGCCAGCAGTCCCCATAATCCCCAGTGCACAGCTGATCTGGGTGCTCAGTATATCACTTGCACTCCTCATTACGCCAAACAACACCAAAAGTAAGTTTGTCATTATTTGCCACGGATGGAATCAGTCTTAATGGTTGTATGGTATTAAAGGAAAAGATCTTAAGCACATTTTTAGATTTTGCCTTTTGTAACAGTGAAATTATGCTATCATCATTGTTGATGTTTGTTAGTTATAAAAGGTCAGTTTTGAGTAAAGTAGGAAATTGAAATACCCAATTCATGGGTTATATAGATTAGGCAAATAAGAAGCTACATGAAACAAATGCAGACCTCAATAAATATAACTTCTGAATGAGAGGACAAGTATCCACAGTGGAGGTTAATATTAACCAAAGCTAACATCTGTGTACAAAACACCTTTGTCTATATTGTCATTGTCTTTAGTTTTGAATTATATGGAACACTAGAAACCTTTGCTAAGATCAACTTTTCCTCCAAAATTGCAAGTTTTGCTTAGCAGAAAATATATGTTGAGCTGACCATATGAAGATTTCGACTTAGGATTTAGAAATATAATATCTCAAGAATGGTTAGAAAAGAATGAAGTATTGTAGAAATATAGTAATTACTTATATTATGTGTGTTGACTGATTTCAGTTTCTATGATGAACTGTTAGCTCTTGGGATTTTGGCACCTCTGGCTGCTCCTATAGAAGGCATGAGGGTGAATGAAGGAGACTGCAACTTTGTGGCACCTCAGGGAATTTCTTCAATTATTAAGCATTACTTGAAAAAATCAGGTGGGAATTGGATTTTTTTGTTTCTTTTAAAACTAGTATTCTAAAATGATGTTATACACATAATTAAATGTAATACCACATAGAAATTGTAAGATACTATATCCTTATTTGCCACTTGATAGCTAATCTTTCTCTTCTTACAAAATAAGCAGTAATAATTTTCCAATGACTGCTTCCAAAAAAAAAAAAAACCAAACCAACATTTGTCTATTTAGCTTCATGACTCTCTTTATTTTCTAGTAATGTATCTGAAGCCCACTAAAACTTTTCAGTGGGAAATTCCAGTGAAAACTTAACTTGGATAGTCATTAAAATGGAAGAAGGCTGGGGCTAAATTTGATTAAATGTATAGCAGAAATACATTTACATTTATAAGGTGTTTAAATTTTCTTAGTGTTGTGCTTCTTTAGAGATAGCTATCTCAGAGTTTTAATTTTTCATTAGATACCATGTGCTGGGAAACAAGGGTAAATGAAAAACAAAGTGCTGCCTCTGTTAATGTAGAGTGTAATGATACTGCTGGCCTGGGACATCACACTTAGAGAACCATTGGAATAAACTGTACAGAATAATTTGAGGCCATCAGGATTCAGTTCTAAGAAATTCAGTGGGTGCATGGAGAATTTTTCAAGCCAGTGGGCTTTAATCTTTTCTAAACACACACAAGAATAGAACTGTTCTTTTCAAAAACTATTTTGTGTAAAATTATATAAAAGAGAATCAGTTGATTTAATTGAGGTCTGGAACAAGGTCATGAAGTAAATGAGGACAGTGGGGAGACACTTCCCAGATGATGATGATGGTGATGATGATGATGATTATGATGGTAATGATAATAATAATAATAATAAGTGAAACAGAGATGCTGTGGCTGGAATAAAGGAGATTATGGGTATGAAATAAGAGCCCCATTGATTTATAGCTCCACTTAGCTCAGACCTTGGCAAAGCCCTTGGGTAAGTTAGCCTTGTTTTCAAACACGGATTGATCCCTTGACCTAGCTGGCATCATGTCCATTCTAACATTTCCATTTCCTAGAAAAATTTTGAATGTTAAGATAGGGTAGCATTGTGAAGAGACAATAAAAGACATTTAAGATGAGATTGCCTAATATAGAGATCTTAAGAGTATCACTAAATATTACTGACACATGCACATATTTTGAATCAATATCAAAACAACTGGTAAAGGCTGGATTGTCATAGGTCAGAAAGAGCACATTGAGCTCGAAAGAAAGGAAACCTTAAGGACTAAGTTGGACTAGAGCTGGATTATTAGTGATTAGGACCATGAAATGTCTCAGGTAAAGATGAGCAGGAACTGTCATGTGCTTTTGATTTTCCTCATTCCAATGTTATGTGTTGCTTCTTTTTGTACTTAAGGCTGAATAAAAGTGGATTTACTTTCCAATTTAAGTTTTTTGAAAAAAATCTGTATTTGATGTAATAATTTACTATGATGACTTAATGACCTATTTCTTTCAGTCTAAGGTTCATAATTTATTTCTTTAAACAACTGATTAACTATTTAGTATGTATTAAAAAGTGTGCTATATTTGCTACATGTTGTATAGAGAAGAAAAACAGTCAACTATTTGTGGCTCTTGGGTCTTAGAGAATAAAAGGGAAGACAGTAACACACAGAATTTTATGCAAATAATTATGAAAGTGGTTTTTGATAAGTGCTAAGAAGAAAAATGTGATGAGAGGATATTCAATGTGTCTCTTCCTCTGATTCTTGTCAATGAAGGTAATGATCTATTTATGGAGACTTAAGTTTCTCCTACAGAACTCTTCATCAGATCCTTTAATGAAAGGCTAATTTTTAATAGAGAATATTGCCCTCTTGCTAATATTGGAGTGAATTGTTAACAACTTTACTGAAATATATACTTGAGGAGCTCTATAAATCCTGCCATGTATTTTTTAGTGTTTTATTAGCATACGTTAATTGTACCAAATAATGGATTTTATTATGAAATTTTTATATATGTATGTAATGAACATTGATCATATTTACCCTTACCACATGACATTTCTCAACCTGTTTCCTTATTTGTGATATTAAGACAATTTTGATTAAATATTTGACATAATAGAGGCATAGTGAAAGGTGGCTATGGTAACTGTTATTATCATTAATTGTTCTTGTTTTCTCCAAAAAAAAAAAAAAAAAAAAAAGGCATTGATAGCAAGATGCAAGTATGCTGGTGGTGATGGAGGAGAGGAATTGCCACCAAGTTAGAAATAAAGAGTTCTAGTGACTGAAGAAGGGAAACGAGAATTTTCTCCACCCTGATGAGTCTAGTTTTAACTGTTCATCTTTCCCTCACTCCTATGGAAAATCCTGATAGCTTGAACATGATTTTGCTTTTTGAGCAGGAGCAGAAGTCTACTTCAGACAGTGTGTAACCCGGATCAACCTGTGCAATAACAAATGGGAAGTCACCAAGGAAACTGGCTCCCAGGAGAGCTTCGATCTTGTGGTCCTCACCATGCCAGTTCCTCAGATCCTGCAACTTCAGGGTGACATTGTAGACAGTGAGTATACCTTGCTGTTTACCTACTCAGGGAATGGGTTTTATTTGATAGACTATGACTTTAACTCTCTTAGTGAAGAATATCATATAGATCCTATTGATTGAATGTCCTAAAAACTGCTTTTGAGCCAGGCGCCAGTGGCTCACGCTGTCATCCTAGCTACTCAGGAGGCTGAGATCTGAGGGTCATGGTTCAAAGCCAGCCTGGGCAGGAAACTTTGTGAAACTCTTATCTCCAATAAACCACCAGAAAACCGGAAGAGGCCCTGTAGCTCAAGTGGTAGAGTGCTAGCCTTGAGCTGAAGAGCTGAGGAACAGTGCTCAGGCCCAGAGTTCAAACTCCACGACCAACAAAAATAAAACAAAAAAAAAAAACCCAAACTGCTTTTGGACCACTTCTTGATATCAGCAAAGGCCAAACTGAAACAATACTTATAAACATTTTTATTTTTGCTGTTGGCTTCATGAACTCATTATTGTTGATAGATGTGTAATGGAGTATGTCTTTTCTGAAGAAAAGAAGAGTTTTGTTATACCACTTCTACTTGGGTTGAGTCATTTCCAGTGCCACAGTTTCTATATTTTTGCCCTTTGAGTTGCCATTTGGATGGTCCATTGTGAAAGGCATATAAAATTGTGAGTGGTAGAAGTGATGAGGAATTGATGCTGGAATTTAGGAGGAATTTATTCCTTTTCCAGAGGTAAAGTCAGAAGGAAATACATCTGGTAAAGGAAAAATAAATAAATATTTCATCATCATTAAAAGGAACAAAAGTATATATGAAGGAAGAACATGGTGGACTGATAGCTAGAATATTTTATTTAGCAAGTCTAAGCTCACAATTTTATAATATTGAATCATGTTTCACAGAAACTATCACATCACCATAGAGAATTTTTTTCTTTTCCATATATATTTTTATTGTAAAAATACTGTACAAAGGGGTTACAATCACATGAGTAGGGTAATGAGTACATTTCCTATCGAGCATTGTTACCTCCTCCTTTGTTTTTCCCCTACCATCCCTTCCCTCCCCACCTCCCCAACTCCTCCCTCCCACCGTGCCCCCGGCCCCCAAAATTGTAAAGAATTTTTGAGAAAGAATTTTTGTTTCACTAAGCTTAGAAATCGTGGTCTATCTACAGAACCCAATTTTTATTTGACCAGGCCAGGAATTGATAAACTGGGAGTCTGAAAAGAAACAGACTCCTGAATGATTTTCATATTGTCCTGAGGGTTCCGGGTGTTATTTCCTAGGGAAGATTGTCTCAGGTTTCAAATTTCATTTGTTTGAAGAAGAGTAAGGCACTGTAAAAAGATTCAGTGGCTCTCAAAAAAAGCTAGAATGTGTACAAGAAGAGGACAGGGGAAACAAGGGAGGGATATCTTTGTTACCGAGTACAGCTTCTTTAGATCACTTAACCTGACTTTGCTATGTAACTCAATTGCATTCCAGCACTGAAAGAACCTGATAGGAACCTTCTAGTTTTTGATAAGGTGGTATTTCATGAAGTAGCCCTTTCCAGAGTTTCAAATGGCTGTGATGCTGTTCACATTATTGTGACACGCAATGATAATAATAGAGGAATTACCATTCAGATTTTGCCATCAGTAATCCTTGGAAATTTCTGGTACTTATTCCTAATTTTCTACTGAGGAGTATTATTGAGTACAAACAATTATTATTAGCATATTTGATATGCAGATCAGAATTTGCAAATTAAAGCAAGATATTTTTAAAAGTTGCTTTCCAATCGCACACTAGATGTTTATTGGTTTTCATGGTTTACATGTGAATATAGCTTATGTTTTGGGAATAGTTCAAAATAGGATATTTTTATTTGGCATTTTATTTTATTATCTCATGAAATATTTAGATAAAAAATATTAAGCCAGCACTGGTAGCGCACGCCTGTAATCCTAGCTACTCAGGAGGCTGAGATCTCAGGATCATGGTTCAAAGCTAGCCCTGGCAGGAAAGCCCTTGAGACTCTTCTCTCCAATAAACCACCAGAAAATCAGAAGTGGTGCTGTAGCTCAAGTGGTAGAACACTCACCTTGAGCTGAAGAGCACAGGGACAATGCCCAGGCCCAGAATTCAAGTCCTACTACCAACAATTTCTTTTTCAATAGTAACTATTATTAGGTTATATATACAAAAGTGATTTTTGTAAATCAAAAATGGTTATATATTTGCAATTTCATGTGAGCCAATCAAAATACTATATATAAATGAAGATGTTAAGTAGTGAACAAGCCAGACACTGACCGCTCAAGCCTGTAACCTTAGCTATTCAGGAGACTGAAATCTGAGGATCACATTTCAAAGCCAGCCCTGACAGAAAAGTCCATGAGACTCTTTTTGCCAATTAACTACTAAAAATGCCAGACTGCAAGGCTTGCTGATTGCTGGTGACTCATACCTGTAATATTATTCAGGAGGCTGAGCTCTGAGGATATGGTTCCAGACCAGCCCAGGCAGGAATGTCCATAGGACCCTTATCTCTAGTAAACTACCCCCAAAATGCCAGAAGTGGAGCTGTGGATGACGTGGTAAAACTCTAGCCTTGAGCACAAAAGCTCAAGGATAATGCTCAGACCCCAAGTTCAAGCCCCAGGACAAGAACTCCCTTCCCTAAAAAAAAAAACAAAACAGTGAAGTGATATAGGTCAGAATTTATTTAAAGCCAGCCTAGAATAAAAACAAAAGAAACAAACAAAAATAACTGCATTAATATTGAGTTCTCATTTAATGTATTATTTATTTTTGAAGGTAGTGAGAATTGAACTTATATTTACTTTCCCTTTAATTTATAAATCTGAAAAAATGACTTCTTTGTGACAAATCAGTTAATATTTATTCCTTTTCGGTGTTTCCTGGAATATATTAGATATACTTTTAAAAAATTAGGTGATACTAAAGACATGCACTTACAATCCTTTGTTGCCATCTAGTGGTCTTAATGTATATTGCAACTTCCTAGATCAGAGGAGACTGAATGTGATTGGAATATAGTATAACACTATGACTAAGTATAACTCCCAAAATCATACAGCACACACAACTTTAAGCCCATACTATAGAGCTAATACTTAGAGAAATAATGACATGCCATAAGCCACAGATTTTACCAACGGAACAGCCCCATAGTCTTTGGTTTTCCTTTGTATCCTCTATCTCTCTGAATCTATGTAAGTGCTATATCTTACATGAAAGAATTTACTTTTTCTTTTTTTTTTTTAAATCACAAGATACTTTAGTACGTGCTAGAAAAGCATACGGACTCTCCTTGATCATTCCAACATTATATTACTTTAACAGCTCTAAACTTTGATACTAATCCAATTCATTTTTTTAAAGAATTTACTTTTAATTACAATGTGGCCTGAATGTTATGGATAAAACAAAACTACTTTCCTCCTTTTGATAATTATTTATTACATTCTCCAAGCTGAGCAAATAGAGAAGCTTCAAGTACTATATACTGAATCTTTTATGATTTACCATCTGGCTCTATTCTTGTGTTACTCTATTATTGTGTTCATATTAATATTGGAAAGTTTATTTAATTTAATCTCTAAAGAAACTCTAGGCATTATCATTTCCTTTCTTGCTGGTAAAACTGAGACAGGAATCTTTTTAGTATGGCTCTAATACAGTAGTTGGCCAATACTCCAGATACTCCAGTGTTTTCTTTGACCATCTTGTTACTGATTTCTCTTGTGGTGTTTCGCTCATTCTCCATGTATGTGTGCTACATCCATCCATCCATACACACACACACACACACACACACAGTACTTTGATCAAATTCATTTCCTCTATTAATCTTTGTCACCTCCCATCCACCATCCCCTATTTCTTTGTCCTTAGGCAATTTTCATAAGCAAATACAATGTACTTTGATTATATTGACCTCCATGACCTTCTCCTTGCCCTCTTGCCCTTTCCTCTCCTGCTGGTTCTTCCCACCAGAGTCTCACATTTATATTCATTTTCTTAAAATTTTATTGTTAGGTAGTTGTACAAAACAGTTACAATTCCCTATGTACAATGTTATGAGTACGATGTTGATAAATGGCATGTTTTACTTACATATACACATATATATTTATGAATATAAGTGTACACATATATAAATACAAACACTTTATATATTTGTATTAAGTAAAATATAATTTATTCCATATATTTAGTGTATATGTGCAAAATACATCCTGTGTGTGATTAGATTTATATTCTTCATATGAGAAAAAATGTGGAATTTGTCTTCCTAATGGGGCTTATTATGCTTAACATGATATTCTCTAGTTCCATCTATTTTACTGCAAACAACAAAATACCATTCTTCTTAATGGATAAATAATACTCTAATATGTACATATACCACATTACATTTTTTCATTCATCTGTTGACAGATACCAAGGCTGATTATATGGGTTGGCTACTGGAAATAATTCCATGAAAAAATGGATATCTGAGTGTCTCTATTTTCTACCAAAACCATGATTTATCTTTAAATTGTGGCTCTATAGTATAGTTTGAAGTGAGGAACTGAAAGTTTTTGTACTACTCTTTTTGCTCAGGATTGCTTTGGCTATTTTGAGGTATTTAATGATTCGATATGAATCTTATGACTGATCTTTCTACTTCTGTGAGGAATGTCATTGGTATTTTGATGGGGTTATATTGACTCTGTAGATCATTTTTTATATTATTGCCGTTTCCATAATATTGATTTCCTGACTTCCTAGGAATAGTCTCCTACACTCTAAAGTCATTAAAATGTTCTTGATAAAATTATGATAATTTAAAGTTTATCCCTAGGTCTAAGTCTTAACTCTACTTGGAATGTATGCTTATGTAAGGTATGCAATAGGTTTCTAGCTTTAGAGAGCCTCCCTCCCCCACTGCAGAGTGGCACACGTTATATAAATACCATTCAATTTTTAAGAAATTCTTTTTCCCACTAAATAAAGATTCCTCATTAAAGTATGG